TAACTTTTTAATTAATATGCAGATCATTTTTATCAATCTGTTATCTTTCTCATTCAATACCAATACTAGTACCATAACATGATAACAAAACAAGTATCGGCAAAATATTCATGAATCTCGCTCTCTATCTTTCTTTCCCTTCCTCCCTCCATAGAAAAATAACTTGATTATCAAATAAATACCTTCTACTTCTATACTAAAGCCTTAATTTTCTTCATATCAGTAAATTATTGCTCCTTGAGAAATATTACTGAAGTTTGTAGAGAATTTGACTAAGAGTTTGTGTGCGATTTTGTTTTTTAAGTTTCTATTATAAGACATTATTACTCATCTTTAATTCTCGATTTTATATAAAGTTCAGTTCCACCATCTTAAAAATATGACCACTATAAGTAAGCATAAGATTGATTGATTTTTATTATATTGTTTTACGTCTCATTCGAGAATATTTCACTCATATAGAGACGTCATCATATACCGGTGAAGGGCTTTAGACCTATACTACGCACTCAGGGCCATTAAGCAGTGAGGGTTCTTTATCGTGTCAACGCCTACCGTGAAACGGGACCTCGATTTCTAAGTTCTTATCCGAAAGACCAGTAACTTTCATTTCTGATGCCGAGCGCTTGGCGAAGGAACAGTCATTAATTATGTTTACGTCTTAGGTCTTGACGCGGCGAGGCGAACGAGAATCGAACCCAAACCTCCTGATCACGAAGCGAACGCTCTACCACTAGTAAGCATAAGAGAAACTTGTTTGATGCCATGCATTGAGATATTCTGAAAAAAAAAATAAAGAAATTCAACTTCAAAGTCTGAATTTAAATTCATTCTGACAAAAAATATCTCTTTCTGTCATTTACTTTAATTTTTCTTCATAATCATGATACTTATCTAATAATGAGTGAAAAATTCTCAAACGCGACGTAACGCAGCACAGTTAAGGCTGCAGTAAGGAGGCGGGGTCTAATTTATACGGGAAATGCTTACTATGACATCACACAAAAATATAAGCTCTTCAAATTACCACAAAATGAGATGATTTGCTATATTTGAACTGTTGAATAGCTTTAAACTACATCAATAGTAACTAGTGCATGCATTTTTGTCGTTGCTTAAATCACACACAGCAATATATAAACAATTCACTGATCGCAATGCACTTGTAAATGTGACGTCATATCGTAAAATTTGACGCAGTTTGTATGCAGTGAGAGGCGGATCAAGTTATATTTTATACAATGAAAAATGTATTTTGTAATTTAATAAAATATTATTTGCAGATATATAAGAGGCATTTACTTTGATGCGGTGTCTATTTCATGATTTTATTCATATACTTCGCCTACATTCCCTTGACAAGCGATACTGTCGTATATTTGTATGTAGATTAATTGAAGGGTAATAGAAGGGTCGTAATAAATCGATATATTGCAAGGGCATACCCTCAATGAATTATGACAAGCTTTTACACATAAACTCAAGAATCTTGCAATTGAATTAATTATATCTATATTCAATGTACTTGACCAGCAAAATATTCAACATACGGTCTAACAAATGTAATATTAGCAATTAAATAGTAGAATCTATATAGGTTCGCAGCACTTTTCACAAAGTACAAAGAGTGTTGAAAATAATTATATGTTAAACTTAGATTTTTAACTTGGTTATGCCCTTGCAATATTAGAATTTATAGATGACCTCAATACTTCAGGAATATTTGCTAAATTCACGTGACTGCCACATCACGTGACAAGTTTAAATAAGAAATCTAATTGTCCGCAACATGTAGTTTTCAACCACATTGCATTTGTCCTAAAAAGAAACGCCCATCCTTGTAAAGAATGTATATTCTATCTAAAAAAATCGCCGATATTTCCATTTGGCACGTTAACTGTAATGCGAAAACAACAGACAATCAATCAATCAATCTAATAATGAATTCTCAACTGTGCGAGGGTCATTCAAAAATACGTTGAAAATGTTTCTTTTCTTCATATTTCATGTGTATTTTAAGAAACTGAAGATCAACACATTAATAATTATTTGTAAAATATTTATTTCGTTGGTGTGTGTAGTTTCATTCTATTTTATCAAATGGAACTCATGTATTACTGTTTTGAAATCAACATGTTTTACACCATGGAGCACTGTTTTTAACCATACGTCAAAACATAACGTTGTGACGGTGTCCCCTAATACACTTCCTCTTCATTTCAAACAGTTTCCCATTCACTTAAAAGTTTCTATATCACTTTATACTTAATACACATACTTTGCCGACAATTATTCAAACATCAAGATAATTCGTCAACGTCTCATTTTTTTAACCGCGTAACCCTTTTACTAGTACAGCAAATATGAAGCATACATCCCTTTTCATGACGTTACTAACGGTTTTGACCAGATCTTAACTGATTATTCATTTATTTTGAGGCCATTCATCGTTCAGTACAGTCTCTAAAACTCAAAACATTCCTGTGACATTATACACACTTGCACGGCTAACTTTTGATATCACTATCTTCTGCTTTCTTTAGCTTTTTAAAAATTTCCGAGTGCAATACAAAATTGTATCGCCTCTCGCTGCTCCAGGACGTCCTGCTACGTTATATTTTCTTGTCCTTTTTTAAAGATGACTACTTGTCTTCTCAATTGATTTCTGTTTAACAGAATATATTATTTCGCAATTTACATATCGAAACTTTTCTTTCCATTTTCACAACCCTCTGTCTCGAGAGATTTTATGCAAATGTACTTTTGATACTTTTAAAACTGAAAATTTTACTAGTGTCTGACTGGTTGAAAATGGGGAACATCTTTGGTACTTGGTCTGACAAATAAAAAAGTGTAGTTTACTTTTATCATTTTCCATTTGCCCAATATATAATAAGGAGCAAATTGCGGGTTTGACTGGTCAGCAGATGTTGCTTACTCCTCCATGACACCTGATCCCACCTCTGATGTTTTTTTTTTAGGTCTGTGTTAGCTCTGCTTCCAATTTGTACTGTTCCAGTGGACTTCTGAGACTGATTACTCTTCGTTATCTTCACATCTCATTTGTCATGATTTTGATGGAAGAAATTTTGTTTATATATTGATTTATTTGTTGAAAAATCTTTTTACCTGTGTTAATTCTCTTTAATTAATGAATATTATTTTCTGCTTCACCCTTAGCGACATACTAAAAACCACTTCTTATGCTATTTACAGGTATTTGGTCAGCTAAGTACACTATCATAAAGAATAAAATGCATATAAAAAGTGAACAAAAATATCTCTTGCAAACGACATAATATCCCGTGCAAACAAGATTTCAAGTCGTACAAAGGAATACTTTGTGGTGAGAACTAGATAACAAGTCGTGCAAATGAATACTAGGTCGTGGGAACTAGATATCAAGTTGTATAATCGACATAATACGTTGTGCGAACAAGATATTTTGTCATGCGATTGAGATAATATTAAGTGCAAACAACATACTCTCTCGTGCAAAACGAGAAAACTAGATATTATCTCGTTGGAAGCATGAAAGTCGTGCGAACGAGTTAATAAGTCGTGTGAGCGATCTACATATAATATTACTATGGTCGTTCAATAATATTTGTCCCTTGCCGCCTTCGTAACTCAAATCGCTTTCTTGAATACTTCTTGTTATTTAGGGTTAAGTAAACATCTGTTTAATTGGTCTCCATTAGTCAATGACGAACACTGAAAACTTTATTAAGAATTAAACAAGAAAGAAAGGCACCCTAAAAACTACCAAGCTGCTTTTTTAAATATGGACAACAAAAATAAGCTGGAAAAAAGAAGGCATATTCATGCACGTTTTTGCTTAGGTATTGATATGTGTACTATTTTTGAGGAGATTGTACAAATCTATGGCGACTCTTTTGTTTCAAAAAAGACTTTTTACAAATGGTTTGTACAATGTAGGAAAGGGAGAACATTACTTTCTGATAACAGACCAGTTTCTGCTGTAACCAAAGAAAACATTTCGAAAAGTAGAAAACTTCTGAAGGAGAAAACTTCTGATAGATCATGGGCGACTCACCATTATCAATCTTGCTTAAACTACTGGAATCCCATCGGGTAGCATCTTTCATATTTAAAAAAAATTAGGTAAAAAAGATCTGCGCCAGATGGATTCCCCATGTCTTAACTCCTCAAAATAGAGAACGTTTAGCAAAACCAAATTACTTTTGAAACACTTTATCAATCTGCATAGCAGAAGATTGGCTACCTTATAGCAGGCGAAGAGATGTGTGTGCAATTTTTTCAACCCAAAAGACTGACTTAAAAATTAAGAATAAATTGGAAAACAATCTCAACATACAGTAAATGCCAAACGAACACTAATAGCTAAAAAGGATCTTTATTCCATATTTTTCAGTGCAAAAGGTATATGGCTGGAATATGCTGATCCACAGCGTAGAAGTGATACAGGTAGATTGTACGCTACATATAACAAAATTCCTCTAAAAGTCTAGACTTTGTACGGAAAACGACGTTCTAGAACAGGAATAAGAGATATTTCACTTTTGCATGATAATACACCCTCCCCAAAAAGACTCATCACAAATTAAAGGCATATCTACAACAGCAAGGATTGATGAGTTATATGTACCACATCATCTATACTCACCAGACCATTTCCCATGTGATTTCTTTTTTTCCTAGATAAAAAGCAGTCTTTCTGTGTGGCGTTTCATTCTCCTGAGGACGTGATTCCGCTGATTTTCAGTGTATGGGGCCTATTCCGAAAAGTGAATACAAACAGGTTGTTATGATTGCATTAAGAGACTTACGAATGCATTGAAGAAAAGCTAGATTATTTTGAAGGAATTGAATAAAAAATTCTATATTAATTATCACTGCTTTTTGTTTTCGATCTAATGAAAAAAAATTGTATCCACCATAGGAAGTAAAATAAATATTTGCAAATCCTAAACATACCACCTTTGTTTGCAACAAAAAACAAGCACAGTACTAGGTAATTTATTTATTATGAGTTCAGTGTGATTTTATAAACTAGAAGGTATCTTCTTCTCCGTTCATCTCTTCTCCATTCATCCCCTGGTCAGCATTGTCAGGGTTATTGTCAGGGGTCAATTTGTGTGCAAGATCTAATCCTGTAAATAAAACAAATGTAGTTTTTGAATTGCCTTTTTTCAACAATATTTTTATACAAAACATACTATATCATTCATACTGCTATACAGAACGACATTTAAAGCTTTCACATTTTTTTTCCCTGATATGCCCGATCCCTCAAAAAAGAGACACCAAAATTATAATTTTTTTGTCTAAAGGCATACATAACTAATCGTTTTATGGATTGGTATTTGGTTATCTAAATTTAGAATTAACTCATTTTTTTTAAATGAATAGTGGGTACATTCACTAAAACGTTACATTCATACATCAAGTAAATTATGCGTCATAGAATTATTCTCCTGAATTTATTCAATTGTCTCAAAGGCATATTTGCTAAAACCTATTTAACTGTATGGTTTGTGTTATGGGCATTTCCAATAAACATATGTATTTCATGTGCATTTTTAGAAAGAAATAAAATAAGTGTATATATGTAAACATTTCAACACATTTGTCTTTTATATATATATATATATATATATATATATATATATATAATATATATATATATATATATATATATATATATATATATATATATATATATATATATATATATATATATATATATATATATCAACGAGTATATGCTCTATAGAACGTCCGAGTACCGAACACTAAAATCGCGTTACTCGATTACTCGGATGTATATTTTTTTCGTATTACAAAGTGCATATATTTATTAGAAAAATTATCAAAAAATGTTATTTAGATACATGTATGTACTGTCCATGTCTATACAGTAATTAGCGTTACTTCACCAGTTAATACCCGTTATCGCTGTACAAAGCTGTCCTCACCTCTTGTGACCCTACTTTTTGGATGGCTGTAATAAATTGTTTTCAATGAACATCGTTTAATTATGATTTATTAATTACCTTTAGATTATTTAATTAGTATACTGTAATTTGGACATACGTAGAAATACCGCTACCAATTCAAGAGTGACGAAATATTTAAAATAACCAAGGATCAAAAAAATGTTAAAAGTTAGGGGGAAACAACCATGTATTTAAGGAATCACCGTCTAGTTTGTTGGGTATGCCATGCAGAGCATCAAAGGCAGTGAAAACGTTGGATAATTTATGCATGACGGGTGAAGATGTAAATACCAGTATCTTGAAATCAGCATACTATACTTTCAGAGTTATCACAAAGAAAACATTGGGAAATGTAAATAATATACGACACGTCCGTTCCCAAAGATGTTCTCTTTCACTAATGTAATCAATACAAAGTTACGTCCTTCTCTTCCGTTGATCAAATTGTTCTTCCTAAACAAGATCAAACTGTAAAGCATTAATTTTGTATTTATTGGTGTATTAAATGATCATGTCTTTTGTGTTTGTTTGATACATAAATTAACAAAGATCGTATTCGTTGGACTCGATGTTATGTACATGCATTAAAACGAAAGAAAAAATCAATGGGGTAAACAGGTCTTTATAAAATCAACAAACTTTTACATGTATACACATTTTTTCCAAGTAGCCGGGTACTCGATCGGAAAATCGTCCGAGTAACCGATTATCAAATGGAGAATACCCACTTCCGCCCCAACCCGTGGTTGAACTTTCGATCGACGGAACCTGTCTCCTAGCAGCACAGGAATAACACACACGCTGTAGTCGAAGAGTTCAACCCCGGGTTGGGGGGGGGGGAAGTTGGTATCCTTACTAAAGTTAATTTTTTTGTGTTTTCTATATCAATATTTCTTAACTTAGGGTAGTTATGTTAGTTTAAGAGTTGTAAAATGTGCTATATAAATGAAATTAATTTCATTACAATGTATATCGGTAACGATAATAAAACTAATACCCAAATACATGTAACTGTATGTCAGTTTCCATTCACAATGACCGTGTAGTGTAGGGAAGCTCCGCTTGAATTCCATCGGTATCGATTTTTTTTTGACTTGCCAATATAGTTCGGAGTTTTAGATAACCATAACAAACGTTTGAGAGAAATGAAGAATATGCACTTTCATAAACTACATGTTTTTATCTTTACCAGAATTTATTGCATCAAGTCCTCCTGAAATAGCTTGAATATGAGATCCAAATCCACCACCTCCTCCACCGTTACGCCCTGATCCCCTTCTCCTGGAACCTTGTCGACCAGACCTACGTCTTCCTCTAGAGCTTCTTCCTCTGGAACGCCTTCTTCTGGAGCGCCTTCTCGAACGACTTCTTCTTGCACGTCTTCTTCGATTTCTCCTTCCTCGTCTGCTCCTTCTTCGCCATCCTCGTTTTTCTATCTCTTCTATTTCATCTGATAAGTAAAGATATGAATATTTGATTTTAATAATTAAGATGAAAAAATACCCTAAGTTTGCCCAACATGTCTTTGCACATTTGTTACAAATTGCATCAGAATCTCTTCGTTTTAGATCTCCTCGATATATGATATAACAGAATATTTATCATTGCCCATTATTTTATTTCTGAAGAGTTTTATGATTTTAAGGAATTATTGCCACAAAGAATCTAAATGAAATACTTATCACCTTTTGATAAACCCGTGTTTTTTGCTGCTCGCTCAATTAATGCCAGATTTGCTGAAATGAAAAGAGGAATAAAACATTTAGTTGGTATCAATATTTTACGGTTAAAAGAAAAAATCCTTTTGAAAAGCTAACAATTCCATACCTTTCAATTTGTCATCTCGCTTACTTCCGGTCAGCTGGTGTTCTTCCGTGTCTTCCATTTGTTCTTGAATTTGATTAAAAAAAAATACCAACGCACTTGAATTTGTATATGTTTTTCTTTCTATTTTAGGATTTAGGAAAAACCTTCCTATACACTTATGTAATATTTCACCATTATTCATACGCAACGGACGCATCGAAAGAAACATATTTCTTAAATTAACTGATAACTAAAATAATACTGGAAAACTCTATCGCTATCAAATTTTTAAAAAAAAAATAAATGAAGTTCATAGATTATCTTTTTTCTTTTCTTTTCTTTCTTTTTTTTTTTTTTACAAAGTCGGAATGGAACGTTCCCTACCGAGATCTGAAGGACTTTCGGCATTGTTATATCTCTCATCAAAGCTTTTGCTGGATGCATCTGAAATAAATATTTAACGTTTATCAAGTTTGTTTAAAAAAATCCTTATTTTAATTAAAAGTATATGACTTACTTGATATGCGCAAAATAAAATTGTATAGACTGAGAAACTCACCTTGCATTAATACGCCAACCAATGCTACCAAACACAACACTGCAAACTTTGAGGGCACCATCGTACCTTCCTGTTGTTACCTGAGGAGATGATATTCTGGACAGAGGCACCCATTTTATACTCTCTAACAAGTGTATCAATGTTTGTGCAGAACAAATAACTGTGGCAAACTGCATCAACATAACGGATATTATGTACATACAATTTTGTTTATTTTATGAAAACATATACTGCAGAAATAATAAACGAATTCGATCTTTATTGGACTTTCTCTTTAATATATTAACCTTTTTTCCGGCTGTTGCATGTTTGATAAACACGATGAGTATTTCCTGAGTTATTTTAATCCATACTTTCTACAGAACCTTTGCCTTTTTTCTCGAGGTAGTCAAGAAATTATTAAGGCTTTTTAAAAAGTAAATTTTTTAATAAACTAAAACATACACATTACTCTCAACAATTAATTAATGGGTAAATGAGATACATAGCTGTATAGTTGTATTACAGGAATATTAAAGGAAACTTTGCAAGACGCATTCAAATAAATATATCAATTGTTATAGGCAGAATAAGATTTCAATATTAAATATCACACATACAGATTTTCTATATAAAATAATTATTTGTAGAATGAAGCAATTTATTTTTGCCATATATCTAATATCAATTAAGTCAACAAAATGCATAAAACAATCTAGGAAAATGCAATAACAATGTTTAGTTTGCATCTGTTCTTATATTCAATTCTTTAATTATTAAGTAATTTTAACAACTTGTGGAATGTCAGTCTCTTCCTTTAGGGCTGTTTTTAAAGCATCTCACGTCATAATCCTTTCTTGATGATATGTTTATCAATTTCATCTTTGATAACACCAGTCTTAACCCGTGAAAAGTGTTCAATATATTAAAAGGTGAGGATAACAAACAGCGATCAATCTCATAAATCCAGTAAAACGAATCATGAACAGAACAAAAACGCGGAGACCCCTGGAAACACCAAAGGTAGGATCAGAGTGTCCATGAGGGGTAAGCAATCCCTGTTGACAGGTCACACCCGCCTTGAACCCTATTTATATACTATCGTATAATACCCTACTCCGTAGTTAAATTAAGTATTAAACCCTGGTCTACCTAATGGCATAAAACATGCCAGACAAAACGCCATCCAATGATTGGTTTATTCACAAACAAGGTCTTTATAACAACCATAGGATTTACGAAAAGCTGACTTTAAACGAAGAGAAAATGAAAATTTGAACAGTTTAATAATTGTTTAAATGAAATGTGTAATTCTTTCATGCTTTATTCAGCCGATATCTTCACTTATCTGCCTGATCAATACATAGGGCTCATAGGGTGTGACCGGTCAATAGGGGATGCTTACTTCTCTTAGACACATGATCTCACCTCTGGAATTTCCAGGGGTCCTTGTTTTATGCCCTCCTCATATATTTGTATTGTTTGTGAATTTTTTGAGATGGATCACTGTTCATTATCTTTACCTTTGACAATATACTTACATCTGTTCATCAATTCCAAGCAGTAAAGTGGATTTCGAATTCTTAGCAAACTCTCTTTTGATTTTTTCACTATCCAACTTCGGAAATGTATTCCACCTTCCATGCTCATTTTGCCATTGCCATAAAACATCATCATTGTATTCCTCCTTCCTTCTGGCGGACGATACATCTTGTGAAGCCGTATCGACATTATATATTCCATTAGTTTTTCCTTCAATATTCTCGCCAGATTGTGTTTCAGTTTTGTCAGAAAAAGCCATAAAAAGTACAGATAAAATGTTAAAATATTGCACAGTTTCGATTCATTTAAGTACCATAACTTAGAATAGTCATCTTTATTATATATTAAAATCTTGAATCATATTTTGAGCATTTCAGGATATTTACAAAAATATTACTCTCTTTCTGCGTTGGACTTTTACTTCTTGTGCTGCTACTGACATTAATAACAATGCCCCTTGTATATTTTGAATCAGCTTTTCATTTTCTTAAATATGTCATTGTACTTTCGTCGAAAGGGTCGCTGAAAATGGAAAGTAAATTGAGATTTATTCCTCATAATAAAGTATAATTTAACACACCTTATGCCATTTTACATTTGGATTAAAAGAAGAATTTCGCAGTTTTTAACATGATCTATCATAAAGAACGATTGATTAATGCCAGAATGTGATTTTACACAATATATCTTTTCTGTTGAATCAGAAAAGCAATTCATTATTATTCTAGGATAAAGATATTATATCTCAGGATATTCTTATGTAAAGAAATGTATTTCATAAAAAGTAACAAAAATGAACTTCACTATCAAGACCATGGGCATTTCGCAGATCATATAGAAATATCATGTTAAGAGAGTCAGCTGTTATGACATTATCAATTCGAGTTTCGAAATCTAATTCAATATCTTAAACACTCCAGTATGTTCAAGTTTGTCCACAAGAATAATACTTTTGATATCTATTTTGGTAAATTCTAGATTAAGCAAAGGAGAGGGACCATTTGGTACAAAAATGGTGTTTGTGTACTTTAATACATTATAGTTGCACAAGATGAAACACTTCCTTTAGGCCTGGCTTAATGACAGCTTATAGGTGCTTAATGATGGATTAATGGTCGTCACCATTAAGCACCTTTTACCTACGTCACATTTAAGCCAATGGTCGGCGGATTTTTCTCGTATCGTCGGCTGAAAATCATGATCGGTCGAAACTGGTATCGGGCTACGCGGAGAAGTCACATTAATTCCGAGGAACTTCGATAAGTAATTCTAAGTCGGCCAACAGTCACCAGTTCATCTTTCGCTATGCCGCGGTTTGATTTTCTCCGTCTGCGACATTTACGAAAACCCAATTTCTAAATGTCGACCGACCGACGAACGACTTAACGAACTGTCTGCTGATTGTAGGACGAAGGTTGGTCGATAGACTATTTAACGACTGCTTCAATTGAAGGAATAGGCCTCTGACGGAGAAAAAAATATAACATGGCCCGACAGACACAAAATTGGTAAGCCGACGAAAAAAGAGGTCAAAATCGGGCAGGACAACGGCCGATGAACAGCCGACTGTCGCCCGAAGAATCCTATTTTTTGCCTCAAAAAATGTCGGCCGTTGGTCGTTTTTGGAAATGTTACTGGGGTTTTTACACCAACATTAAGTTACAATTAAGCAACCTCAAAATCCTTAATGGGTGATTAAATGTAGCTGAATGGTGGCCTTAAAAGTGGCTTATATGTGCTTAATGATGGCTTCTAAACAATCTTTAAGTCACCATTGCTACCATTGAACCAGACTTTTAGGTTCTTAATATCCAAACCTTTAAAAGCTCTCTTTAAACCACCATTAAGACACCATTACGCAATTCATAAAACTGCTTTAATTTATAGGTAAAAGATTATTTTTTATATAAATTTCATCTCGCAAATTGTAAATGCCGAATTTACATATTTTTTATTTCGGCGAATAAATTCAAAAAAGAAAAAAAAATCGTCCGCATGGTGGATTTAATCCCGCCATCATATGCTGCGATGGCGAACATTTTTTTTTATCTTTTATTACTAGTATCGATGGCGAAAACCTTTTTCTTTCTTCCGATGGCGAACACCTTAAAGTTGGGGGTACAGTCTGGCCCTGCTGTGGCAAAAACAGCTTCAGATAAATTAGTATTCAACTATATATAAAACAAAAAAACAAAGAAGAAAAGAATATTGAAAGTTTTATTCATGAATATTTAATCTAATTTAATTGATATATTAATAAAATAAGTATTTTTTTTCTTTAAAAAAATCAAAGATTAAAATAATATACATCATTATATTATTTATGCAATACACTCTAGCTGAAGATTCCTGTATGCCAATTTCATATATGTTAATGTTTTTTATCAAATATTTGATAAATCTCTGAGAGAAATCCAAATTGGGAAAATATACTATTGATCATACACATACCTTTATTCTCATTAAGAAAAAATTATGTTATCGCATTTATTTAACAGTTATGTGTAGTTTTACATTTAAATTAGAGAAAATTGACCTTTTTGCTTTTAGACTCGTTTTTTGAAAGAATGTCATTTCTAAGTATAAACATTGAAAAAAATATAATACTATCGCTTTTGAAAGAATGAATTTGAATACATTTTATTAAATTTTTCTCAAAAATCTCTTGTGAAAGACTTTAGCTTAACAAGACAATAAAGCAAATTATCGCCGAAAAGAAAGATAGAAAAACGGATTAAAGCGCTTATAAATTTGTTTTTGAATGCTAAATAATCTATGTTTTGCGTAACATTTAAGTTGTTAAAATATTTTTTAAACATATTGTCTTCCGATTTGATCCTTTTCATATCATGATGGGTATCAAAATTATTGTCTATTTGCTTAGAGTCTTAATCTTTAATTTGTTTTCTGCTGGCATTAAATTTAAAAAAAAAGAATTGTTGAAAATGATTGATCACCGAAATCTATCACTGTACTTTGTGTATATAATTTCTTGTTAGTGGACCAGGGACTCTGCGGAAACCTAACTAAGTTCTATTGTCTAACCAGTCGATAATGTACACCGTTTATTTTACCCTGATTTCAACTATGTATAAATCTGGTCGGATGTCACCTTTAATCTGATCGGCTGTTCTACTGAAAATTGATTCAGAAATAACGTATTGATGTTTCAAAATTCTTTCATTTAATTATAATATAAAACAACAAATACCAATATACCAACTATTCTGATAAATCCGTTGATACTTTGTATTATTTAAAATAAAATGTAATTAAATGTTACTAAGCCACGAATTAATTCAAACTGTTTATGATGGAATTCATTGATTGACAATTTAGTTTATGCTTAGCTTTTTAAAAAAAAAAAAAAATTAAATACATCTATACCCAAAGAAAATTGATCCGACCGAGAGAATGAAATATGGAGATAAACAGTATTCAAGCTCTAAGTTTATCAAAACAATACAAATCGCGAGCAGAGCAAACACGAACCTCTGAAAACATCAGAGGTGGGATCGGTATAACAGATATAACAGTATGCTT